AACATATTTTTCAGTGTATAGATACTCAGTATTATGATACCGAGCAACATGTTTATTCCTAGTGTATAGATAGTCAGTGTTATTATACAGAGTGACGTTTATTATCAGCGTATAGATACTCAGTATTATTATACAGAGCGACATATTTATCATCAGTGTATAGATACTCAGTATTATACAGAGCAACATGTTTATTAACAGCGTATAGATCCTTATTGTTATTGTTATTATTATTATTATTATATAGAGCGACATGTTTATTATCAGCGTATAGATCATTATTATTATTATTATTATTATATAGAGCGACATGTTTATTATCAGCGTATAGATCCTTATTATAATTATTATTATATAGAGCGACATGTTTATTATCAGCGTATAGATACTCAGTATTATTATACAGAGCGACATGTTTATTATCAGCGTATAGATACCCGGTATCATTATACAGAGCAACATATTTTTCAGTGTATAGATACTCGGTATTATGATACAGAGCGACATGTTTATTCCTAGTGTATAGATACTCAGTGTTATTATACAGTGACATGTTTATTATCAGCGTATAGATACTCAGTATTATTATGCAGATCGACATGTTTTATCAGTGTATAAATACTCAGTATTATTATACAGAGCGACATATTTATTATCAGCGTATAGATACTCAGTATTATCATACAGAGCGACATGTTTATTCCTAGTGTATAGATACTCAGTATTATACAGAGCGACATGTTTATTATCAGTGTATAGCTACTCCGTATTATTATACAGTGCGACATGTTTATTATCAGTGTATAGATACTCAGTATTATACAGCGGAACATGTTTATTATTAGTGTATAGATCCTTATTATTATTATTATTATTATTATATAGAGCGACATGTTTATCAGCGTATAGATCCTTATTAATATTATTATTATTATTATTATTATTATTATTATACAGAGAGACACATTTATCAGCGTATAGATGCTCAGTATCATTATACAAAGCAACATATTTATCAGCGTATAGATACTCAGTATTATTATGCAGAGCGAAATGTTTATTATCAGCTTATAGATACTCAGTATTATTATACATAGCAACATGCTTATTAACAGTGTATAGATACTCAGTATTATACAAAGCGACATGTTTATTACCAGCGTATAGATACTCAGTATTATTATACAGAGCGACATGTTTATTATCAGCGTATAGATACTCCGTATTATGATACAGAGCGACATGTTTATTCCTAGTGTATAGATACTCCGTATTATTTGCTGAGCGACATGTTTATTATGAGTGTATAGATACTCAGTATTATTACACAGAGTGACCTGTTTATTATCAGCGTATAGATACTCAGTATTATTATAAAGAGCGACATGTTTATTATCAGCGTATAGATACTCAGTATTATTACACAGTAACCTGTTTATTATCAGCATATAGATACTCAGTATTATTATACAGAGCGACATGTTTATTATCAGTGTATAGATACTCAGTATTATACAAAGCGACATGTTTATTACCAGCGTATAAATACTCAGTATTATTATATAGAGCGACATATTTATCAGCGTATAGATATTCAGTATCATTATTCAGACGGACATATTTATCAGCGTATAGATACTCAGTATTATGATACAGAGCGACATGTTTATCAGCGTATAGATTCTCAGTATTATTATACAGAGCGACATGTTTATTATCAGCGTATAGATACTCGGATCATTATACAGAGCGACATATTTTTCAGTGCATAGATACTCAGTATTATGATACAGAGCAACATGTTTATTCCTAGTGTATAGATACTCAGTATTATGATACAGAGCAACATGTTTATTCCTAGTGTATAGATACTCAGTATTATACAGCGCAACATGTTTATTATTAGTGTATAGATCCTTATTATTATTATTATTATTATTATTATTATACAGAGCGACACATTTATCAGCGTATAGATGCTCAGTATCATTATACAAAGCAACATATTTATCAGCGTATAGATACTCAGTATTATTATACAGAGCGACATGTTTATTATCATTGTGTAGATAATCAGTATTATTATGCAGAGCGACATGTTTATTATCAGCTTATAGATACTCAGTATTATTATACAGAGCAACATGTTTATTATCAGTGTATAGATACTCCGTATTATACAAAGCGACATGTTTATTACCAGCGTATAGATACTCAGTATTATTATACAGAGCGACATGTTTATTATCAGCTTATAGATACTCAGTATTATTATACAGAGCAACATGTTTATTATCAGTGTATAGATACTCAGTATTATACAAAGCGACATGTTTATTATCAGTGTGAAGATACTCAGTATTATTATACAGAGCGACATGTTTATTATCAGCGTATAGATACTCCGTATTATGATACAGAGCGACATGTTTATTATCAGCGTATAGATACTCCGTATTATGATACAGAGCGACATGTTTATTCCTAGTGTATAGATACTCCGTATTATTTGCAGAGCGACATGTTTATTATGAGTGTATAGATACTCAGTATTATTACACAGAGTGACCTGTTTATTATCAGCGTATAGATACTCGGTATTATACAGCGCAACATGTTTATTATTAGTGTATAGATCCTTATTATTATTATTATTATTATTAATTTATAGAGTGACATGTTTATCAGCGTATAGATCCTTATTTTTATTATTATTATTATTATTATTATACAGAGCGACACATTTATCAGCGTATAGATGCTCAGTATCATTATACAAAGCAACATATTTATCAGCGTATAGATACTCATTATTATTATACAGAGCGACATGTTTATTATCATTGTGTAGATAATCAGTATTATTATGCAGAGCGACATGTTTATTATCAGTGTATAGATACTCAGTATTATACAAAGCGACATGTTTATTACCAGCGTATAGATACTCAGTATTATTATACAGAGCGACATGTTTATTATCAGCTTATAGATACTCAGTATTATTATACAGAGCAACATGTTTATTATCAGTGTATAGATACTCAGTATTATACAAAGCGACATGTTTATTATCAGTGTGAAGATACTCAGTATTATTATACAGAGCGACATGTTTATTATCAGCGTATAGATACTCCGTATTATGATACAGAGCGACATGTTTATTATCAGCGTATAGATACTCCGTATTATGATACAGAGCGACATGTTTATTCCTAGTGTATAGATACTCTGTATTATTTGCAGAGCGACATGTTTATTATGAGTGTATAGATACTCAGTATTATTACACAGAGTGACCTGTTTATTATCAGCGTATAGATACTCAGTATTATTATAAAGAGCGACATGTTTATTATCAGCGTATAAATACTCCGTATGATTATATAGAGCGACATGTTTATTATCAGCGTATAAATACTCCGTATGATTATATAGAGCGACATGTTTATTATCAGCGTATAGATACTCAGTATTATTACACAGTGACCTGTTTATTATCAGCTTATAGATTCTCTGTATTATTATACAGATCGACATGTTTATTCCTAGTGTATAGCTACTCCGTATTATTATACAGAGCGACATGTTTATTATCATTGTGTAGATAATCAGTATTATTATGCAGAGCGACATGTTTATTACCAGCTTATAGATACTCAGTATTATTATACAGAGCAACATGTTTATTATCAGTGTATAGATACTCAGTATTATACAAAGCGACATGTTTATTACCAGCGTATAGATACTCAGTATTATTATACAGAGCGACATGTTTATTATCAGCGTATAGATTCTCAGTATTCTTATGCAGAGCGACATGTTTATTATCAGCGTATAGCTACTCCGTATTATTATATATAGCGACATGTTAATTATCAGTGTATAGATACTCAGTATTATACAGCGCAACTTGTTTATTATTAGTGTATAGATCCTTATTATTATTATTATTATTATTATTATTATATAGAGCGACCTGTTTATTATCAGCGTATAGATACTCAGTATTATTATACAGAGCGACATATTTATCAGCGTATAGATATTATACAGAGCGACATGTTTATTATCAGCGTGTAGATACTCAGTATCATTATACAGAGCGACATATTTATCAGCGTATAGATACTCGGTATTATTATACAAAGCGACATGTTTGTTTATTACCAGCGTATAGATACTCAGTATTATACAGTGCGACATGTTTATTATCAGTGTATAGATAGTGATGTACCGAACGGTTCGCCGGCGAACGGTTCCTGGCGAACATAGCATGTTCGCGTTCGCCACGGCGTGCGAACATATGCGCGGTTCGACCCGCCCCCTATTCGTCATCATTGAGTAAACTTTGACCCTGTACCTCACAGTCAGCAGACACATTCCGGCCAATTAGCAGCACACCCTCCCTAGCAGACCCTCCCACCTACTGGACAGCATCCATTTTAGATTCATTCTCAAGCTGCATGCTTAGTAAGAGGAGGGAAAGTGTAGCTGCTGTTCATAAGATAGGGAAAAGCATAGCTAGGTTAGGATAAGGGTATGCTTTTTT